TTTATTAATATAATACAAAAAAAATTAATGTGCTGCTGAATGTTTTGAAAGTAATTCTATCTTATGATAAATGAAACTTAGAAAACCTGAACTAACATTTTAATAAAAACACCTGCAACTATAATTCCAAAAAGTCACAAATCTTGGCACCAGTAGTTTGAAATTTCATTTTACCGAAAAACCTATTCTTAAAAACAACTGTTTAGTTTTAAAGTGTGTATATTCATTACACATTTTATCAAAAATGATAAATTTAAATTCACTCTAATACAGTAGAGCATCGATTATCCGATCCCCGATCAACAGTCACATCAGTTAACTGACCGCATTCTAGTCGGCAAATTCAAATGTCTGCTAGTGACATGGCACTACAATATTTGGCTGTCTTGGCTACTTTATTATTATTTTTGTGTGTTTTAGCCAGTATTTAAACGAGGCTTAATTTTCTAATTTTTAACGATACAATAGCGACGAGTATTATTTTAAAAAAATTTTCGTTAGTCTTAACATCGATGAAAATTCAATGCAAAGTAGGTTAATAGCGATATACTATACTAATAATGTATTTTTTTCATATTTTTCGATTATCCGTTTTTTCAGTTATCCAACCAACCTCGGTCAAGTTGGATAATCGATGCTCTACTGTATTTGAAACTAAACAATCTAAATGTCAAACCAAAGCTAAAGTTTCCTCTTAATTTTTGAAATGTGAAAACAGACTTCAAAATTAATATAAAAATTTAGGTTTGTTGCAACATAAAATCATTTAAATCTTTCATAAATTATTAGTTTTTATTAGAAAAACTAAATTAGTTGCATCTATCAGCAGTAAATTATATTTTCACATCATAATTCTAGTTTATACACTAAAAATACTATGTAGTAGAATATATGTCATCTAACAAAATGAAAAACATCTGTCAGCATTTAACGTTTTCTAGCCATGATGCAATCCAAAGAATATAGCCTATAATTTTTTTTATATTTACATATATTTTCAACTTATTTTAAGCAACAGTTCTACAGACCTTACCTGTATTTCTAAAATTAGAAATTCTATAGCCTTTAAGATATATCATCAGACTTACTGATTGTAAATATAATTACATTTATTAAAAGCAACACCTAGTACATGTAGAAATATAAATTATTACATACTAAATTATTGAATTATTTTTATCATACAATTTCCTTCCTTTGTTATCTGTGAACAGTTTAATGTTAGATCTTGATTTCCTTTAAAATGTAATGTTTGAGTTGTTTATGCAAGTAAATATAAATGTCATGTCTCAAAATATTTAAGAAAAAAAAGTCACTTTTAATGCATAATTCAAATATTTTGCAATAATTATAAAACATAATTTTGAGCATATTCTCTCAATTTTGCATTGATTATATGTATCGTAATCATTGAAGTTGGGAAAGTGATGTGCTTCCATTTGTTATTTGCGCACAATTGTTTCAAAGCATTACAAGATGATTACAGTTTATGATCATTCAGAAAGGGTATTAGTTCCCTTTTTTACTGCAGAGCACAAATACTTTTTCCTTTTTATGCACTTAAATTGGTTATTTAGTATATTTTACTATTTATAAATGTTATTAATAAAAATGAATAATTCTTAATTTTTTGATATTTGATATTTAAATATCATGCAGAACCTTAGAATATAGAACGACTTTACAAATATAATGCTTTTCTTTTGTAAACTATGGAATTGATAGATCATATTCCAAGTGATTATTCCAAATTTTCTATCATATTCTTAAATTGTGTGTTCTTTGTATACTTTTATGTGCAATAAAATAGTTTTACATTAATGCACATTTTAAGAACACTTTCTATGAAAACCATTACTTTTGAAGCCCTTTCTTCAAAGAAAATCTACACCTCCACTTCAAGTATAGTACTAATACAGTGAGGCCAAGATTCCACTAGCATAAAAACGGGCATAAAAACCCCTCACCGTAAAAGCTTTTAATCACATGACCATGATATTTTACGCCGGAGCAGGTCGTAAAAGCGAGTTGAACAGTTTTCAACTTTCGATGCGAATACAGCCGTAAAATGGTACCATCCACCAATCAAAAGTCAGTGAAATCTAGGTCATTGTGACATGGTGCAAAAATGGCAGAAAGCAAGCTTTTGTGTATGTTTCCTCATGGCTACTCTAGAATAGATCTGGAAAGATTTATCAAAAACATCCGAAAGTATTCATGTATCTATGGCAAGAAGTATCCCAATTATAATAATGGATGCCTAAAACATGCAATATGGACGGCCAAAGGAAAATCATCCTTCAATTTAGAAAAGTATATAATGAAAAAAGCTAAGCTTATAAGTGCTGTATATTATCTTAATTAATAATATGATAATAAAAGTTAATATATATGAAAGTAAAGATATTATTTTTACTACATTTGTAATTATAGTACAGAAAAAACTCAGACTATAATCATTGTCTTTATAACTTCAATAGTACCGTCGCCGTAAAAACTTCGCTAGCAGGACCTCCACTGCAATCCAGACACAAACGCAAATAGGTCGCGTGATTAAAAGTTTTTACAGCAAAGGTTTTTATGCCCATTTTTACATAAGTGGAGTCTTGGCCTGACTTTACTGCATTCCAATATAAAATAATTTACAAGTAGCTTGTTAAAAAATTTTGTCAGGCACCAAACATGCAAATATATATTTACTAGGGGAGAAAAAATAATTTTTTTTGAACTGAAAGATCAATTTAGATAAACAATTCTTTTCTAATATACATTACACATGAATACACGTAAAGGTTAATTACTAGCTGAAATATATGCTTTTATCTGTAGCCATGTGTACAGGAAACTTAAAACAATTGAATAAATACCTTTCCCTCAATATTTAATGAATTATTCAGCTATATAAAGATTTTATAAAATTAGATAGCAGAATGTCAATTTGTTTGAAAACCTTTAATGTATTTAAAAAATTGTCATTTAATCATCCACTTAATGTGGAGTAACAGGAGGAATTAAATCTTGTTGGATTAAATTGTACAAATTTCATTACCAAAGGCAAATGGACCTTCAAAAACAAAACTATTGTACAACTATTGTAAAAGTATAGATTATTTCTGTTGTTCACAGATCATAAATCAACTGTTACAAACAGAAAAACAATCAATGTTTGTATAAATAATGGTTGTGTCAACAACAACAAATGACCAATTCTTTAGTATGTCCAATTCTATTCTCCTGCCATAATATTGAAAACAATTTACGAGAGATTGCTTGAGCTACTTGAAATGGTATAGAATTAGATGGCAATCATATTATAACCAGTAATGTAACAAAATTTGACTTCTGGAATATTTATAAGATCACCTAAGAAACCTCCTTTTACACTGTCAATTGATAAAAAGTGCAGTTACTGGAAATTTGTTAAGTCTAACAATAATTTTAGTAGTATTAACATTAAAACAAAATCCGAACAACTTTTACAAATTAATTCTTAAATTACATTTCTTGAGTTTGAAAATTTTTAAGTAGACTGTACTGTACATATTAACACCAATAAAGCAGCAAGTTTTTTTAACCGAATAAATTAGATGCCCAATTATCCAATTACTCTTTAATATGAAAATGATTGGTCTGGTAAATTTATTAACAACTAATTGTCCAAGCCGGAACTGAGATAAAACAAACTAAACACCACGAAAACTTTTCCAGCAAACAACTTACTGAGAAATACAAATGTTTTCAATCTATTTAGACAACTGCATCGAGTCTAGTCACCAAATTCAAAATTTTTTGAGATTACAGAATGGAATACTTTAAGCATTCCATAATGTCTAGAACATTTGTAAAAACAAATTCACTCGTTTAACACAAAAATTGTATTTCATTAAAACATAACCTTCTACAATAACGAGGCAACAAATTTATGAAAATTTTTTTGCGACGCGAGTTTATTAGACTAAATTGCAGCAAAAACTAAATATAAAGTGAATGAGTATAGCAAACAAAGTTAAAAAGAATTTTACCCCTGCAAAATTCTTGAATAATTCACTTCTAGTGGTCACCACACACACACACACATTCACTTTATTAGGTACAGAAGAGGAAGGTTTGGTTTTATACAGCAATGCAACACCTTCCAATGGGACTTTCTACAGAAAACGGTTCCCATTCGTGTGTCAGACAGGCAAATGGGCCAGTTTCAGAAACTCCACGCATCCATCAGCGAAGATTAAGCATACAACCAACCGCCAGCATTCAACTTACGCTGGCTCACCGGAACGAAGATCACGACGTAGCCCAAAATTAATCACAACTCGTGCTTAATATTACATCACCCAGAACTTAAATTAGCATGTTTTAAGAAACAAAACAACTTATATAATTTGAAACAAACTCTGTACATTCACCTGATAACCTAAGTCATTTTTATATAATATTTTTGGAGTTATTTTTGCATTGCTGAAAAGGAAGTAACAGTAAATGAGACAGAGAGCCATTTAAATGGATACAAACACAAAGTAAACCGAACAACACTGAAAATTTGACGTAAAGCGAGACAGAATTAAGTAAATTAACAATAACATTCGATAAACAAGACGAAGATGAGGTTAAAACAGTCAATTTGGAGCGAATAAAGAGTGAAAATCGCAACGCCATAACTCGCATCGCTGCAACGGACGAGTGAACGTTAACGGTAAATAATTCTTACCTGATATTAAATTAACGCAGTTACAACGGTCAAAAATCGCTTAAACGACGAGACGAAAGGTAGAGAAATCGCGAAATTGAAAAGCAATGCCAAATATGGCGACGGTTAAGGTGGACGAACTTGCGATAAAAAAAAAAAAAAAACACCGGGGACGAAACTTCGAGTAAGGAAAAACAAATAAAAATTCCGCCGTTTAACCGGGATAAACTAATTATAAATAACGCGTAATTCGTCTATTTTTATACGATAAGTTCGGGGAGACCGAAAGAATCGAATAGAATAACAAACTCACCGAATCTTCGCAAGTGGACTGACTTGGCAAGATGGCGACGAGATTTAAAAGAACTGCACCAAACGACCAGGTTGCCACGTAGACTTAACTACGCACGTGACACTACGTCAACAATGATAATCTTGTGTGATTCACCTATTATTATCAAACGTAAACTATTACGTATTTCAAATTTCGTATTAAAACTTTAAACTTTCGTCATTTCTATTTTGATTACTAAAATGCGTTATCGGATGATTTTGTGTTTTCTCTTATTTTTTTTTCTGTGTTTTTAGTGTTTGTCAAACAGCGACAGACACGTCTCGTAGTGTGTTTGGACCACGTGCGCGATCACGTGATACCCGAAAGTTCACGCTATAATAATTCGACACGTCGAGATAATGTTTGGCTTTCCCATGAGTAACGCAATTTTTGTTGTGTTTTGCGTTAGAAATGTTGAAACAGTAAAAAAAAATTCGAGACGCGGAAAGCCGCCATGTTCGATCGCCGCATATTTACTTTTACGTTTACTAATTTTACGCGGATAAATTCCGTGTTTTTTGTAATTTTTTTTTAATTTTCCGGGCGTAAGAAATGTTTATTCAATTTCTAAATAAGTTTTGAGCTTGATTTCTCGCTTAATTTTTTAAAAAATTCAAGAAAATCAGAGGGAATACCTGTATTTCCAGCGATGCCGATAGTACTTATTTTTCTTTAATTTTTCGTACATTCTACAAAAATACTTTATTTGCATTGTTTTTTTTTATTCATAGACAAGGGACTGTTCATAAATGATGTCGACACTTGAAGGGAGGGAGGGGTTGAATAATTCGTTAAAACATCTTAAATTATATTAAAATTATTTTATATTATTATATGAATATTTGTATTATAATAAATATATCTCATAGCTATGATCAACGAGCTAAAATATACCACATAGAGTGGCTGTGACATTAGATACAGCGCTCTTGGTGGTAACGACGGGTACTATCGACCGCCATTTTATTTTAAGTCAAAACATAGAAGTTTATATCATATGTTGAGTAGGATTGTGACTTTAGAATCTATTTTTTTTTTTTTTCATCTAAATTTAAATTGTTTCATCTCGCATTTAGCTATTTTCTATGTTTTATTTAATTATTATGTAAAAGGTAATATCAGAGTTTAAAGTGGTAACTACCAAAATGTAATAGCATAGATGCTTTTAAGTCTTTTTGAGGAAACCCGAAAAACTACGTGTCCGAGCGAGGCGCGAACCCACGATCGAACGCCCAATATTCAGGGTACGAAGACTTCTTGGCCACTGATGGACAGGTCAAGTTTGACAGGATTCCATTGCTTTCCAGTACATGACAGCCACGAAAGTAAAATTAAGAGCGTTTACAAATGTATTTAACTTATCGCTACAGAATACTTTGTCTTGTTTAGAATTAGAAACGTTTAAATAAAGAGTTAAAGAAAGAAATGTCTCGTTATATACTTTCAAAATTAAAAAAAAAACAAACAAAAACTAAGTAGGGTAATTTTGACTTGCACCATCTCAGTTAAGGATTACAGTAGAGCGTCGTTTATCCGAAAGTCTGTTATCCTAAAGAATTCCAGTCGGCAAATTTAAATTTTCGCCAGTGCTGTGGCGCTGCAATCTTTGGCTATGTCTTGGGCTACTCAAATATTTTACGTTTTTGATACTAAATTAACTTCTGAAGTATAATTTTTTATTGTTTTTATATTTTTCAATATATTTATTTTGTTTGTACAAAATAAAAAAATAATTTTTAACGATACAATAGTCTTCGTTAGGCTTAACAACGACGAAAATTCAACGCGAAGCGACACGCAACGGAAAAAAATTTCAACACGGGATAGGCTAATATATTTTTTCGTACATAATCGGTTATCCGAATGACTCCAGTCCCCAATTGATTCGGATAAACGACGCTCTACTGTATTTCTTCTGTCCTCTGGCTATTCATTTTAAACATATATTTCTTCTTTATTAACGCACACAATGGTACATGCCGGGTTCCGCAGTGAGCACTACCCGGTGGTAACAAATTACAATAATAAAGATACAAATAGTGAAAGGTGTTACAAAATACATAATTAATTGTAATATAAAGGTAAAATACACAGGCAAAATAGATACACAATACAATAACATCACTGGAATGCAATTCCTTAATGTAAATACATGATTACAATACACTTACAAAAGAGGTTGTACATGATAAAAGATGTGGGACACGAAACACAGTGGGTACGGGTGGTTTGAAGCCTATGGGGTTATACCCGATAACAGTTACACAGTGGGTACAATGCAATGGTAACAGTAAACACGATTTTAGTAAACACACATTTTAAACATACAATAAGACCCGCTTAACGCTGATTCGATATAACGCGGTGTGCTCGAAGTCTAAAAAAAGCTCAAAATTTACGCCCATTTAAATTATAGTAGCATTTCATTGATTCATATATAATACGAATATTTGCGAACACGAACCAATGAGAAAAAAAGGTGGCAAAAAGGTGTACTCTCCTTAAATCTATGTTTGTTTAGTGCAATTTTGGAAAAAAATATTACATCACGGATGCAATAGGAAATATCGACTTGGCTTGGCACGAACGAAGTGTGGAAGAAGTTATGGCCGAAGGTACCCAAGAATTCTCAACGAGAAGAGCTATCGATATATCAGGACTATGAGATATAGACGAGCAGAATATTGAGGAGTTACAGCAGGTTTCTGGTGAGAGCCTTAACAACGACGACCTTCGAGAACATGACCTTCGAGAACATGACCTTCGAGACAGAACATGGAATTCATGTGGAACTGGAAAATAGAGATTCTGAAAAAGAATAACCCAAAAATTTTCACAACAGATTTCCTTAGTAAAAGTTTGGTAAGATAACCGAAATCGTTGATCAAATTGTAGCGAATGATCCTGGTTTTGAAAGGAGTGCAAAAGCAAAACGAGGCGTTTTGGATGCGATCTTCCGCTACCGACATTTGCTTAAGGAAAGAAAAAAACGACAATTGAAACTTCACTTTATTGCAAAGTGCCCACCAGTGGCCAAACAGTCTTCGTACCCTGAACACTGGGGGTTCGCTCCTCGCTCGGACGGACTGGCTACGTGGAGTTTTTTCAGGATTTTTCACATTTGTAACGCCTAAATAGGGACCAGTTTCCCTTAAAAAGACCTCCCGGAAGGCATTCCCCTAGGCAGATCCCAAGTGTTGCGTTGCCATAATTTAACCAACAACAACTTCATTGCAAAAGAAGAATTTCAGAAAAGTCAGGACCTTCGTTACAAAAAATGAACTTTACATTTCTGTGTGCATATGTTTGTCTGTTATTTAACATATATTATTATAAAAATTACTTAAAATTTGTTTATTTTTGGTCGCGTGTTCTCTTATCCCTATTTACTCTATGCTAAAATGACCTCGTTTAACGTTGTTTCGCTTAGCGCTTTTTGTTGTCTACGAACGCATCCCCCGCGTTAAACGGAGTCTTACTATATTTAAAATTATAATAATGTTTTATAATTTTATGTACAGAATTAATTTTAAGAGCAAGTACTTAAACTTTATTCTTAAAAAAGTTTAATGCAAAAAAATTCGGAGGTAATTTCTGTATGGATGTTAACATGTATTTGTGTATCTCCAGTAGGGTCGAACTTAATGATACTTTTACTCGTTATTAGCATTTACAATTCTTTATAAAACTTATCCCTACCTTCAAAATTAAAGTTTTTGCCATTTTATAATAGTTAAAAATATAAAAAGTTTTAAACAAAATATGATAATAGATAGCGCCACCAATATTTTAAATGTTGCCGGGAAAGTTGAGCAACTCGTTGCTGTTTTATTATTAGACAGGTTGCGGCCGACGTTTTCAACGCGAAAACGTGTACGTCGGACGTTCATCGCCGCCTTCCTGTGAGCCTAGAAGTTTAACAATGGCGTTTGGAACGTCGAGCGTGATTCTACTGACGTTCCAAACGCCATTGTTAAACTTCTAGGCTCACAGGAAGGCGGCGATGAACGTCCGACGTACACGTTTTCGCGTTGAAAACGTCGGCCGCAACCTCTCTATTGTCTTTATTAATTTAATTCGGATCCATCACTTTACATTATTTAAATTTTTTTCAGTTAAAAGATATCCTGCGTTTAACTCTTCTCCTTTAATATTACTCATAGATTCATATTGGCCCATGATAGAAGCTATTCAATAGTGAGAGATGAGCCCTAATGTGTCCATAAAAATTTGAGGATTGAACTAACGAATCTGGCGACCTTGGGGCTAGAATCTATCAGTCCTTCTAACGGAATTTTCTTGGTTTATTATATATTTCCCCCTTTCTGTATGCACTTGAAATCAAGGAACGTCCACTGAGCACAAAACCCAGTGAAGGAGGTATGAATTAAGTCAATGGACACCTGTAACGAGAGGAAACATAGTATCAAGGATACATAAGAAACAGCGTTGTGTAGAAGAGACAATAATATGTAAGAGTTAATAGGGTAGGGCAAACATAACACATGGGCTATTTGCCAAGGGGGGAGGACTTTTTCGAGTTATTGAAATAATTTTAATATCATGTAAGACGTTTGATATTGATATATAAATCAGGATCAAAACGTTTTAAAAAGTTTAATTAACGTTTTTTACACCTAGAAAAATGATCTAAAAACATGGGATTTATCCGCGAAAAATTAGTAAATGTGAAAGTAAAATATGTGGCACGTGAACATCGCGAGTTTCCGTGTCCCGAATTTTTACTGTTCGAACTTTTCTAACGCAAAACAACAAAAATTGCGTTACCGAGGGGAAAACCAAACATTATCTTGACGTGTCGTATTATTATAGCGTGAGCTTTCGGGTATCGGGTGATCGCACACGTGGTCCAAACATACTACGAGACGTGTCTATCGTTGTGTAACCACCACTAACAATTAAAAAAAAATGGTGTGTATTGTTGAGTAATTTATTGCAATAGAGTAATGTAAATTCTAAAAGTTAAAAGAAATAATAACTATTAAACAGGAAAAACGATTTGGGGAACCCATGGCTGCAGTCCTTGCACCTTACTCTTTAACGCCTTCTGTCAAAGAACACTTAAATTACTCCTGTGTGGGAGATTTTTGTAGTACATACTTGTGTTATTACCGCAGCACAGATATTTAACAAATTTCAGTAAAAGTTATTTCGAATGGGTCTCCTAAATATTAAGGAAAGGAAGGCTAAGAGCTTTTAATTATTAACTTCTTTTATATTTACCTCTCCATCTAAGCACTCAGAAAATTTAACTTTCCTGTGAGTACTGAGGGCACGTTTCTATATCTATCATAGGTTCAAGCAGGCCCATAATCAGGGCAGAAAGGGACGGAGCCCTGTCACTTGGCTGAAACAGACCTCTTGTGAAAAATTGATCTTTTGGTATTGCCGTTAATTCTCATTGTCTTGTGGTGGCAATATATACTAGCCATTGGGATGTACCACTTGGTTTTGCTGCAACGATCAGGCACTATTGATTTTGGAATGATCAGACTTCTTGCCGAAGCATGATAAAGTTAACATATTCTGAAACAAAATGCTTATATTGAAGCATATGATTATAAATGTATTTTTATATACTTCTTTTCTATGTAATAATAGTTTATTGTATTAATTAATAGTACTTGCATTGCAAGTTATCTTTCTATCTTGTGAGTGCTGACTGAATAGATAGGCAACATGCACCATAAAGAAGTTGTTTGTCCTATTGTCAGCTTTACCTTGTTAACATGAGACAAAAACTCAACATTAAGATAACTAAAAATATGTCAATTCTTCTAGTTGCATTATTCTGCTTTACAAAAGACAACCAAAGTCAATTTTGTGCAGAGAAGCTTCTTCATGCTTCAAGCAGACTAGCATAGTCAAATGCCCAGAGCAAAGAGACAATATGGCATTTTCCTTCAGCTGTGAGGAAAGAATGTGGTATCAGACAATTGTGCTCCTTTGATGTCAGATTTTGAAGTTCTTTTGTTAAATCTTTAAAAGTAAGACAACTACAAAAATAAAAATGTAACATAACAATTGCATCATCTTCATGCAACCATCCTGTCTGTGTCATCGACCATCATCGGCATTTAGCTTGGTTTCCAGGGTTAACGACAATGTAATATATAGACAGCCCTTCTTTCATTTTATGATTCATTTAACTGTAATAAATCACAGCTTCATTGAATAATTAAGCAATTGGAAACCAAAAACTGTTCTTTTTCACGTAACAATGCGGCATATCAATGAAATAAGGCTACTATACAGAGCCTGTTTTACCATTAGGCAAAGAATCACCTAGAGTTGCAAAAATACAAGGATGTCAGTCTTACTCATAAACAAACAACTATTATTATTATGAACTATTTAAGTTTTATTTTATAAGTATCCACATGTGCACTTGTGTGAGTGTAACATGCATATATATGCATTGTGTAGGAGTGGTTATTAACCACATATACTGTATTTCCTTTGTGTAATTCCTTTGTTAATAACAATCAAGTCAGTTGTATTCATTGATTCATTTGGTTTTGTTCAAAAACACACCTTATTATTCCTTTATGGGCTCACATGCATTGTAACCTTTGTAATCTGTAAGGGAACAATAATTTTTAACTGGCTATCTTTATTACTTTAACAAAGATAGCAGATCACATGCATCAACAATAAATAATAGGGAATGACACAGGTGAAACTGAGGTACTAACATAAAGTCAAAGAATTTAAGAATAGACAAAATATGTCTTCATAAATGATTTCTTACAAAAGAAAATGAGAGTGAGAAGGTGTGATTTTTTCAGGTAAATTTTCTTGCTTGTATCAACAATGCCAGTGTCTTTGTTTGGGAGTTGCAAAATACCTTATACTATTCTCACATCTAGTGTTTAAATTAAAAAAATTAAAAAAGTATTTGCGAGTCCAGCTTCCTTAGAATGTAATTTTAGGAGCATGGGTCACTTGTTTGGCCACAGTCACCAGACAGGAGGGGGGGGTCAAAATTATATTGGGCTACATGGTTTATGGATGCTCTCTTACATAAATCAATTTTATAGACTCCCTTTAATACTCCTGTAGTTTTTCACTCTATCCTCTACTCACACTATTCTATTCTAATTCGGGCTTGCAACAGGAGTGAAAAAATACCATGAATAGGTCAGCTCACTCACAAAAAATTTCCGAGGCTCCCAACTCAGACTTGAACTTAGACCCTGATAATAGTAAGTTGATGTCTTTACTTCCTTTGTATTCAATACTTGTGTATTAATTCATCTAACAAATATACAGTGTAGTAGTGATAGTAGTGGTGGTGGTGGTGAAATGTAAATTTCATTTTTTTGGTTCAACTTTGAAAATGAATATTCTCTAATTGCATTTTAAACATGCGCTTCACTCATATTCATAGAATAATCTGATTCAAGTTTCTGATACAGAATAACAAGCATGCTGGCACGGGTCTCAGACCTAACATTATTTAAACTAGTCCCACAGAGAGGCAAAGTGAGATATGTATCATTACAGCCCTTCCACAGGCAAGATACTATTGACAATAACATTATCATATCTTGCCCTGTATACATCAACACGTCTTTGTAGCAAAAACATAATACATATAATATAATATACTGCAGGTATATTATGATNTTTTTTTTTTTTTTTTTTTTGTGTTTTTTTTGTATATGTGATAAGATGGCAACTGTACTTTCCACAAATACATTATGCACTATCTACAGATGATTTTTGTCAATAAAATTACAAATACGACAATTTGTCGACTCTCACACTATACTATATAAACGAGTATAGCCTAATTAAATTAATGCAATCCACATGACAATTTTCTTTGCATTTTTCCCACGTTCGCACAGATATCTAACATTATAATGTTCCACCTTTCAGTTTCTTGATGGTGTTTTTCAATGCCTGTCTCTTATTGCAGAACCACACTCTTACTACTTCTCGGTCATAGTTCAGTTTTTCAGCCAGCTCTGTCATTTCGGCTCCTAAAAAATGAATTAATATCATTTAAATCTTAAAAATATATCAGATTTAAATGTCAAAGTTTGATGTAATTCTCGTACCCGAAGGATGAGTATTTTTATCAAAAAACTGATTAAGCGATTCTAATGCCGAAGGTGTGAAGGATGTCCGCCTTTTCCTTTTCTTTGTCGTCTCGCTTCCAATAAATTCGGTAAGGGTGTGCGCTCCATTTTTGTACCTTTCTTCCGCTTCCTTCATCCAGCGTTCTAGGACGGGCTTAATTTTTTGAGCACTCTTTGGCGTTATGTCTAATTTTTCAAACCTAATCAATGCAATTGGGATTAATTTTTATTATTTAAAAAACTTAATTATACATTAGGTAAGATATTTTTGCAATATTAATGACTATACGGTCACCTGCAAATGGCACTCTGACTATATGATGGACCTTCGGTAGCACTTAGTGCTTGTCCTACTTGGGTCTGGGTTAAACCTAAAGACAGTCGACGTATTTTAAATGCTTTGGCAAATTCTTTGATTTCTTCGAGATTTATTCCGTCAACGACATTGGCTTCTGTATTACTTATAGTATCTAGTGAAAAAAGATAAATAATTATTTAACAAAGAATTGGCAATAAGCTTCCTTCATACTGTAACTAGTAAATTAATTAATGAGTTAAAGAAACAGCTTTCAATTTAATTTTATTTTTCATCACTACAACAACAACAACAACCTACAGTAATTTATAAATTAATTAAATATTAAATTTCATATTTTATCAAACACTATCGACAAAAGAAACAAACGCACTTGACTGATGAGAAGGTGAAGTGCCATTTCCGTCCAGAGATGAAGTTACCGATATTCCTTGCTGCTGTACTGCCTGAGTTAGTGGTGATACTGCTCCCTGACCTTGTTGAATCCTTTGTGCAACAGTCTAAAAAGCAATTAATTTAATACTTATATATATATATATATTTATATTTTACATAAAGTTGCAGGATAATGGCAAACACATAAGACATTATCTTAAAAATAAATTTACTATCAAAATCCTTTTAAGCTTCATTGTAGGTTTCAACATGAATTATTTTAATAAATCATTTGACATCTATGATGAAACATTGCAGGATAATTTACTTAGCAATTTTGTTGTGGCTTACATATTTTTAGGCTATATCGTTTAATAAGATGTAGATTCATAAACTGATGACCAAAAAAAATTAAATGATTAATGTAGCAAGTTTTCTTTATATCTTATGCAAGAGAATAGAATTTAATTGTGAAATAAAAGCAATTATTAACATGTGAAGCAAATTCACAGGCACAGACACAAGATGTTAGCATCAAGTGAGGTAATGATTTAAATTCTTGGAGCTTAAGATTCTTACAATATCAGTTCGTAACATATATTTTTAAACAAATAGAGAAGCCTTATTAAAATGCATCATAAATAAAACTGGGGGAGAGATAGTATATGGCTGGTTCTCTGGAGAGAACTAGAAGAAAAGCAGGTAGTGTGGTCAGTCCCATGCCAATGCCAACTTTATCTTCCAAAAATCATCTTCCATGTACTTCTTGGAGGAGAAACTGAATGGAGTACAGACTCACACAAACCACAACAGGTGAAAACCAGAGATTGTCTGCTTGGCAGTCCAATACTGTACTGTCAACATTAAATGGGTAATGAATAAATTCCCATTTGCTTAAATAATGAACTGATTGGTTAATACTAACAACACTTAATATGGATAGATTATGAAGCAGACAAAGAACAAAAAAGCCATGTGTGTTTAATAGTTGTTTGTGTTTAACTGTAGCATTGTTAAAACCAGGAATTCTGGATTAACAATTAGAACTGGCCAGTTCCCACAAGACACATTGTCTACAGCAGTGAATGCCAACTTTTCTGACCTCATGGACCACTAAACTCATAGGGCCGATTGCAGAGACAGAGTTTACATTAAACGACGTTTATCAACAAACGGCCTATAGCCGTTGGCTGGCTGAACTGCAGTTAAAAATGCATTGCAAAGACGACGATTGTCTATTTCTGACCGTTCTCTAAACGAACTTCGGCAAAACATTGGCTCTTACTTACTTCGCTATTAATCCCCTGTTTTAGGAGTTGTTCGGCCAATCGGGTTATTTCTTTGTGACATCAGAAATGGTCGTCAGCTATATTCGGAAAGCTTCCAGAAATAAAATCTTAAGGCCGTCAAAATCATTGTTCGGCAATTAATGGCAATCCTTTTCCATTTCGATATTTAATTTCATCGCCAATACGATTTAAAATATGAACAAATCCATATTTAGAAAATTTATACCAAATTCGAAATTCGTCTTCGGAATAGATTTTTAAGGAATTATTTCGACATCTTATTACTGTCAAAATGAATAATTTTAAATATTTNGTATCCACATGTGCACTTGTGTGAGTGTAACATGCATATATATGCATTGTGTAGGAGTGGTTATTAACCACATATACTGTATTTCCTTTGTGTAATTCCTTTGTTAATAACAATCAAGTCAGTTGTATTCATTGATTCATTTGGTTTTGTTCAAAAACACACCTTATTATTCCTTTATGGGCTCACATGCATTGTAACCTTTGTAATCTGTAAGGGAACAATAATTTTTAACTGGCTATCTTTATTACTTTAACAAAGATAGCAGATCACATGCATCAACAATAAATAATAGGGAATGACACAGGTGAAACTGAGGTACTAACATAAAGTCAAAGAATTTAAGAATAGACAAAATATGTCTTCATAAATGATTTCTTACAAAAGAAAATGAGAGTGAGAAGGTGTGATTTTTTCAGGTAAATTTTCTTGCTTGTATCAACAATGCCAGTGTCTTTGTTTGGGAGTTGCAAAATACCTTATACTATTCTCCCATCTAGTGTTTAAATTTAAAAAATTAAAAAAGTATTTGCGAGTCCAGCTTCCTTAGAATGTAATTTTAGGAGCATGGGTCACTTGTTTGGCCACAGTCACCAGACAGGAGGGGGGGTCAAAATTATATTGGGCTACATGGTTTATGGATGCTCTCTTACATAAATCAATTTTATAGACTCCCTTTAATACTCCTGTAGTTTTTCACTCTATCCTCTACTCACACTATTCTATTCTAATTCGGGCTTGCAACAGGAGTGAAAAAATACCATGAATAGGTCAGCTCACTCACAAAAAATTTCCGAGGCTCCCAACTCAGACTTGAACTTAGACCCTGATAATAGTAAGTTGATGTCTTTACTTCCTTTGTATTCAATACTTGTGTATTAATTCATCTAACAAATATACAGTGTAGTAGTGTTCCTTTGTATTCAATACTTGTGTATTAATTCATCTAACAAATATACAGTGTAGTAGTGATAGTAGTGGTGGTGGTGGTGAAATGTAAATTTCATTTTTTTGGTTCAACTTTGAAAATGAATATTCTCTAATTGCATTTTAAACATGCGCTTCACTCATATTCATAGAATAATCTGATTCAAGTTTCTGATACAGAATAACAAGCATGCTGGCACGGGTCTCAGACCTAACATTATTTAAACTAGTCCCACAGAGAGGCAAAGTGAGATATGTATCATTACAGCCCTTCCACAGGCAAGATACTATTGACAATAACATTATCATATCTTGCCCTGTATACATCAACACGTCTTTGTAGCAAAAACATAATACATATAATATAATATACTGCAGGTATATTATGATAATTTTACTGTCATTCTCAGATACATTTCTACAGAGAANTATGAAATATTTAAATTTTATAAGTATCCACATGTGCGCTTGTGTGAGTGTAACACACATATATATGCATTGTGTAGGAGTGGTTATTAACCACATATACTGTATTTCCTTTGTTAAACTCAATGAGAAAAAAAGGTGTGTGTTGAAAGGACAGCAATCAGGAGAAAATAGGTAAAACTTGGAATTTCCTGGTTAGTTGTCTTATTTTCCAACAATTCTTAAAGAAAATCTGGCTGTTCCTTTGGAATTTTAATAACAATAAAGTCAGTTGTATTCATTGATTCATTTGGCTTTGTTCAAAAACACACTTTATTATTCCTTTATGGGCTCACATGCATTGTAACCTTCGCATTGTAACATAGAAACCTAAATAACGTGCAAAAACAAAAGCTGTACATCAACTATAATTTATTTATTTATTAACGACTACTTTATGCAAAACATATGTAGCAAAGTTAGTTATTAAATTCATGTTTCTACAATTACATTAAGAATACTAATTTACTGTAACAGTTCCTCCATTTATTAAATAAGGGAAGGAACTGTTACAAGTACTGTACATACAATAGGATGTGATCTAATGAAATGCACAGTTAATGCAGTAGCCTTATTTCATTGATATATGGCTTTGTTTACTTTAAAAAAAAAAAAAAAACAGCTTTCAGTTTCCAATTGCTTAATTATTCAATAAAGTTGTAATTTATTACATTTAAATGAATTTTAAAATGACTGAAGTATAAAACAAAGCACCCTAGCTATCTTTTTTTTTTTAACATTTAGGAGACTTCTGCTCGAAACTGAAATTTGAAAATATTCGTAACAAATTTCGATAACAAAGAAATTGTGCTGTGACGAGACATACAAAGGAGCATAGTAGAAAATTATTCCACTATGCTAGGAATAATTTAAGTTCCTTTGAAAGGGGAACTGGCATTAAAGAGCTGTGACAAACCACTCCTGAAAAAACTATGTTAGCCACTAAACTCTGAACTGTTACAATTGCTATTCTTATCAGCATTTCCAATGTGTGGATAATTACCCAATTTTTGGGTATTTTAAGCATTGGTGGATAATTTTTAAAATTTTAACACTGGGCATTGAACTAAAGTTAAATCCATTTTTGCAATTGTAATTTGCACTCTCAATAAACTTGGTATAATAACTGATTCATTTGGCTTTGTTTAATATACATTTAATACTGTAATTATGAAGATTATGATGCACAGTATGAGTCTAAAATGCACCTTATTATTCCTTTATGGGCTCACATGCATTGTAACTTTTGTAATCTGTAAGGGAACAATAATTTTTAACTGGCTGTCTTTATTACTTAACAAAGATAGCAGATCACATGCATCAACAATAAATAATAGGGAATGATACAGGTGAAACTGAGATACTAACAGAAAGTCAAAGAATTTAAGAATAGACAAAATATGTCTTCATAAATGATTTCTTACAAAAGAAAATGAGAACAAGGTGCGAGTTTTTTTTCAGGTAATTTTTCTTGCTTGCATCAACAATGCCGGTGTCTTTGTTTGGGAGTTGCAAAATACCTTATACTATTCTCCCATCTAGTGTTTAAATTTAAAAAATTAAAAAAGTATTTGCGAGTCCAGCTTCCTTAGAATGTAATTTTAGGAGCATGGGTCACTTGTCTGGCCACAGTCACCAGACAGGAGGGGGGGTCAAAATTATATTGGGCTACATGGTTTATGGATGCTCTCTTACATAAATCAATTTTATAGACTCCCTTTAATACTCCTGTAGTTTTTCACTCTATCCTCTACTCACACTATTCTATTCTAATTCGGGCTTGCAACAGGAGTGAAAAAATACCATGAATAGGTCAGCTCACTCACAAAAAATTTCCGAGGCTCCCAACTCAGACTTGAACTTAGACCCTGATAATAGTAAGTTGATGTCTTTACTTCCTTTGTATTCAATACTTGTGTATTAATTCATCTAACAAATATACAGTGTAGTAGTGGTGGTGGTGGTGAAATGTAAATTTCATTTTTTTGGTTCAACTTTGAAAATGAATATTCTCTAACTGCATTTTAAACACGCGCTTCACTCATATTCGTAAAATAATAATCGGATTCAAGTTTCTGATACAGAATAGCAAGCATGCTGGCGTGGGTCTCAGACCTAACATTATTTAAACCAGTCCTATAGAGAGGCAGAGTGAGATATGTATCATTACAGCCCTTCCACAGGCAAGATACTATTGACAATAACATTATCATATCTTGCCCTGTATACATCAACACGTCTTTGTAGCAAAAACATAATACATATAATATAATATACTGCAGGTATATTATGATAATTTTACTGTCATTCTCAGATACATTTCTACAGAGAAACAACTCTACTTGCCTGATAAATCAGTCTCTGAGAATGGCCCTGAATGGTAAGTCCAGATTAAATCCTCAAAAAATTTTCATTAACTAGCCAGGATGTATCATAGAACATATCTTGGACTTACCATCCATGAAAATCCATATAAAACTCAAAGCAAAACAATATAAATTAAAAGAGAAATAGCCAAGTAAACAAAATCAAAAGAGGATTCGCAAGAATGTTGACTATTGTCATCACTATTTAACATTTACTGTTAGAACGTATATGAAAAGAATAAGTTATACAGAAAAAAATAAATATAGTAAGAGAAAATACAGGTAACCCCCGTATAACACGGCACTTCTGTAGCACGGATTCACTCTAACACGGTTCGAGAATTGGTACCATCCCCCAAATAATACGGTACTTTTATAGCACGGATTTACTCTGACACGGTTCGAGAATTAGGTAAAACCCTCATACAACAGGAAATGTAATAAATTTTTACATACTTAAGTAATAATACTTCACAAAAATTATTATTTTCGTGAACTATTTGTACTTATGTATGTAAATTTTCTCTTCTCGCCTTCCGTCGATACATGTGGTCCTTCTCGAAACTTGTTTTAATGTTGCCAGTTCGCAACGCTTCTGCTTCTGATATTGCCGAATGTTTTTCCCTTATTCCATACTTGCTTTATTCTTCATAAGTGCTTAGCAACCATATAAGGAAATTTATAAAGACCTTTTAACTAGAAGCAAGCAATCTAAAATTACATACATTTTGCAAAAGGTAAAGCATGGATCTGAAGATAATGCACAAAAATACTCAGAGGATAAGGATAACTTGCCAAAAAGAAAACGCTATCGGTTAATTAATAGTGTTTTTAGTGATGACGAAGAAAACATTGTTTAATTTATATTAATATGTATCACTTAAAAAATTTTAATGAAGATATTTATCTTAATTATGAAAATATACTAGCATGTTTTTTAATTTTTGGAACCTAACCCTCCTTTTCGTATTAGTTCTTTGTTTCCTATAACACAGATTCGCATAACACGGCAATTTTTTGGAACATAACTACCGTGTTATACGGGGGTTACCTGTATTGCCAACTGCTCAGTCATATTTATAGAGCAGAGAAGGGAACAAATAAAATATTGGGATGGTTTAATGAAGGATAACATATGAAATGAAAATAAACATCAATAAAATAAAAGTTCTATGGTTAGGTGACAAAAAGAGAGGTTGAGATTATGACAAATTGTAACAAGTAATATCTAGGATCATAGGTAAGTAAGGACTGAAGAAGTGAAACTGAAGTGAGGAGAATAAACATGGCAAAAGCAATGATTAGCTAAATGAGATTACTGTTTGGACCATTAGAAATAAATCTTTGAACAAATGCCATGTCTGGAATGTTGTATGAAGCCAAAACATGGATCCTGAGACAAATGAGATAATGTTTGAGATGTGACTTGTGGGTTAAGAAAAATTGGAAAGAATAAAAATGAATTCAAACTATAAATGAAAAGGTATTTAAGAGAATAGGAGAAAATAGAGAGCAGTCAATGGAAATTAAAGAAAGAAAATGATTGATTTAAAAAGGCTATGCAAGATATAAATGGAAAAAATTCTGTTGGTACATAACTAGCATAACAGCTAACATAAGACAACAGACTTATCACCACCCAGGCTTTTGGGCTTGCAAAAAAATGGTTCTCTTAATGTCTGCAGATATTGATCAGAATGATACAACACTTTCCTAAAATATCCATATCCAATCTAGACCCTCAATTTAATCAGTTAGGTTGTGAGCTTTGTCTCCATTTGCTTATAATGATACCCAACTGAGTCAAATATATCTGTAACAGACAAAACATTACATGACCCATAATACATTTCAAAATTCTAAATTAGCTGTAACAGAAACTTGTACTTTTGGTTTACCACGCAGACAGTTCATCAATGGTAACTTGCACCCGAGGCAAAACCAACTTTTGCCTCTCCAGCTTCCAGTTTGGTCTCCAGTAGAGATCACTTCTGGAGCTAGCACTCTCATATGAACCATTTATAAACACCTTTAGAGTATATTTATAGAACCTTACTGCTTATTACTCTTCTCCTTTTGAACATTTTGGACCACTCATTTTACTGTTTGAGGCAGTCATTTTGTTGTCTTTCTCGTCAAGCCGGCCCTTGAACACAGTACCACGTAAGAAACATTTGCTTTCACATTAAATTATCAGTACAAATAAAGTAGCTTGCTTTATCACACTATGCAATTCTGGTTTAGGGATGCAAATTGCAATGTTGGCTTGGGTAACAAAAAAATATTATGCAGAAACTGTTTATTTTGCATGGCGCAAATTGCAGCGGCATTAAAAAGAAGAAAACAAGAGACTACAATATATAAATATGTAATTTTACTGGTGGGAACTTTTACAACATATCTTTGCTATATAAACGGTAGGCAAGGAGACTTTTTCCAAATTTCTGATGTAAAACTTTTTTACTACTAACTCTAGAGATATAGCATAAAAGAGATTTACATATTAATCTTTAATCAAACAAAGTTTTTAAAATGTTTTAAAATTGTGATATGTAATATGTATAATGTACAATAGAATTAATTCATCATTGCAATTGTTAAATGATATCATTAATTTTTTTTTTTCATTAATTTCTCTGCATTAATGAAATTACACAGCAGTATAAAAATTCTAAAATGCTTTGGTTCAGTCGGTTTTTCGAAAATATTTCTATCGGAATAAAAATTAAACACTTTTTCTCAGAAATTAAGCACTTGTTTGCATATTGATACAGTAATATTACCTGTTTTTTTCCCCCTTTAAATCTGCAACGGGAGTTCTCGATCTTCTCTGCTGCAGACGAGCGACAAGTTGGGTCCTGTATTGATGCGCTCGATTTACATGCCACAAAACACCATTTTAATTATGCTGCTCTTAACGGTGGTACGAATTCAGTGATGCACTGTTTACAGTGTGCTGTACAGAATGGCACTATGGTTGGTATGAATTTGGTACTACATTATTTAAATACATTGCACCAAATGCACAACAGCCAGTCAATAAGAATTTGGTGTCACACAATTTAAATACACTGCACCAAATTTGTTGACATGCTGCCAAACGAAACTCTCGCTCGTCGAAGGGATGTGTCTCCCAATTATAGAAGAAACTTCCGATTGTCAGATATACAGATGGGATCGAGAACCACCGCCTGACACAATACTTTGACACAAATTCAACACAAGAATATTGTACAATATTCGGACAGATATAAGTCAATCAAACACAGTTTTGATATTACTCAGGTACAGAGTCGTCAGAAATAAATAAAAACATTTTTTGTTTTGCATCTCGAAAACAGAAAAGTCCGACACAATAAGAAATTTAACTACGGGAATGCCGGGCACATTTACAGAATATACAATTTGTATATTTATAATATTTTTTTTGAGACAAAAAATCTCGTTTCTAAAAATTCTCGATTTAAAAATTGATCGCTAAATATGTATTTTGGATGATAAAAAAATTTCAAAATACATATTTAACAATTCAATACTGTTATATATACAACTAAAATGGCATTTGTTATAAAACAAACTGGCTGGTGAAATGATTTAAATAAAATTGATCTCTCTTTTTTTTTTGGCAATGTTATGGCACAATTAAAAAATAATTCGAGTATATAAGAACGAAACAGGCATTCGAACAGTAGTAAAAAAATTCTAAAAAAACTCTCAAAGAGTGAATGCAAAAAAAAAATACTAAATAAAACTTTTCAAAAATAAAAATATTAATAATAAACATTTAACCAATTGGTAAAATAACATGGAAACTTTTTAAACATTGTGTATAAAATAATATACAAGTTTGTACAATAAAATCATTAACTGCACGCACATTATTAAAAATGATATATTACAAATATGATATAATATATATTTTTTTGTTGGTGGTTTCTTTTTATTTTTTTAACTGCGACTACCAGAAAAAAGATATGACTAAATAAGTTATTCTTCGACGATAACCCAAGCGTCGCACGATTTCCGTGCGATTTTTCTGGTAGTACAGTTAGATAATACTTTTTTTTTTTTTTTTTTTTTTTTTTTAACTTCCCCCCCCTTAACCAAAATCCCTTCCCCTCTAGGGATCCTTGGATTACAATTAGTTTGGTCAAGGACCATCTGTAAAGAAAACTATATTCACCTATGGTTTCCTTCTCTATCTTTGAGCTCTCGGCTTCCTTGTGAGACCGGCGAGTTGTCTGTAATCCACTCGTTGTGTCGGTCGTAATCGTCGCTGGATGACTCCAGACGGTCTTGCTCCGGCGATGGACGGCGAGAATGTTCCGTGATCCATCGACGATCCCGTAACGGAGCGTGATCCTCTATCGTTGCCCCTATCG